GAACCCCCAAATACCGAAAATTGGGGGTACCCTTATATGGGGGCTATCCGATAAAATGGACCTATATTAGTCGAGATATGAGGATCGATATACTTAAAGGTGGGTCTAGGACCAATATTTCGCGGCGTTACAAACTCTTGAGGCTGCACAAAGCTATAATACCTTGACAACATAGTTGTGTAGGGTATAAAAAAGGGGGCGAATATTAAAAAATTTCGGTAGGGAGATTTGTTACCATATACCACAAATACCAAATTGCACGGAATTCGTTTGAAAAACGCCTTCAACAACCCCAAATACCGAAAATTGGGGGTACCCTATATGGATGCTATTCGAAAAAATGGACCTATATTAATAATTTTTTGTGGAGAGATTTAGTACCTATTAAGAACTAAAAATACTAAATTACAACCAATTCGGTGGAAAAATACGATCATAACCCTCAAATACTGAAAATTAGGAGGTACCGTTATATGGGGGCTAGCAGAAAAAGTGGACCTATATTTATAATTTTTTGTGGAGACATTTAGTACCCAATAAGAACCCAATGTACCAAATTTCAGCATATTCGGTTTAAAAACGCGCTCAAGAATCCCAAAATACGGAATTGGTATATGAGAGCTATGCCTAAACGTGGACCGATATATCTTCGAACTTGACCTGTCTGCAGACAAAACATTTTTTTTTTCGAATTGTGGGACGAAACTTTCAGCGTCTCTAGATTTTGGGCTGCTGAATTCTAAAACATGATTTGTATCATTTTTTCTTATCAGGATAATCGACAGGATCAATTTTTGGGCTGTGGCCGTATGTTCACACTAGCACTGCTCGGATACAGGTTTTTTAGATGATTTATTGATCGTATTATGAGGGTGACCATATGGTCACGCTAGCACAGCTCGGATTAATCCACGTCTTGTTGGGTACTCAAAAATATATATATTTTTTTAAATCCAGCCTCTTTTGGCTCTTAAATGTTATTTTATTTTACAGCTTAGACTTTGATCGCCCTCTTCTGCTTCCAATATATTTCCAATTAATGAAAAATCAACATTTAACAACTTTGTTGTTATTATTTAATTTCCAGTTTAAAATTTTGCCTGCAATCAAACTGAAATCCTGTTGTTATTTCTGTTCTTGTTGTTGTTGTTTTTTCGTTCAATTTCATGAACAATGTGCATATCCGATTACCTATTTCCTGATGTGCACAAAACATTATTTGCTGCCTCCATTACAGGAGATATAGTCCGATACCTCTCGTTCTGTGTCTATGTATGTGTGCGTGTGTGGCAGTGTAGGTGTGCTGTTCACGCAATACATTCACTCATTCATTTATTCCAATCGTTGGTGTATATTTATTTGCGTTTGTGTCGAAAAGGATGTTGAAATAAAAGGCTTCGATAATTGAATTTTCATTCGGAACCAATTGTTCGCCGCCATACACCACAGATGATGATATTTTTATTCAATTAACTAGCATGGGTATCAGAGCCACCAGTTATAGTTATTGTTGTGGTGGTCGTGGTAATAGCAACATAGTCCATCCATAGATATAAACACACACACACATACAAAAAAGATTTTCCATTTACGGGGCCGTTTCACATAAAAACTTTTGCCACAATGTGAAAAAAATAAATGTTGACGCCCACTATCAAACTTGGTTTGTACCGTTTTATTTTTTTTATTTTCCGCACAAAATAACCGCAATATGTTACCAATATTATTACTAAGGGTGGGGGATGGAAAAGTGGTCCCTCTTTTTTTCTCGAAGGCCGGCCATTGTTTTTTATTCATTGACTAATTTATTTTTCAATTTTATTTCAAGTGTGGATATTCTATTCGTTTGCATATTGGAAAAAAAGTATATTCTTTAGAAACATCCACGAATTGGTGGGCCAAAAAATAGTTTTTTTTTTTTTAAATCCATGCCTTGTTGGCTACTTGAAAAGATATATATATATAATTTTTTTTTTTAAAATTCATGCCTTCTTTAAATCCATGCCTTGTTCACCACTTGAAAAGGAATAGTTTTTTTTTAATCCATGCCTTGTTGTCTCGAAAAACAAAAAATATTTTTATACCCTTCACCACTCTGTGGTACAGGGTATTATGTCTTTGTGTAACAGGCAAAAGGAAACGAGATAGACACATGGTTCCTTTTGAGAATATGCATAGAATCACTTTTTAAGACGATCTATGCATGCCCGTCTGTCCATGTTAAATATGATCCGAATTGGATGAAATTTGGCACAGATCATTTATTTGGCCCAAGGAACCCTATTGAAATTGGGAAAAATCAGTTCAGATTTATATATAGCTCCCATATATATTATCGTCCTATTTAATTTATATGGTGTACCGAAGTCTCTCTGTATCTTTCGATTTGAACGAAATTTGGCATAGCGTAATGAATTAGCTCTATAATGATGTGTGTTAGGTTTCCTGAAAATCGGTCCAGATTTAGATATAGCCCCCTAATATATTTTCGTCCGATTTTATATAAATGGTGTACCAAAGTCCCTATATATCTTTCAATTTGCACAAAATTTGGTATAGCGTAATGAATTAGCTCTATAATGATGTGTGTTAAGTTTCCTGAAAATCGGTCCAGATTTAGATATAGCCCACTAATATATTTTCATCCGATTTAATGTATATGGTGTATCAAAGTCCCTATATATTATTCGATTTGTACGAAATTTAGTATAGCGTAATGAATTAGCTCTATAATGATGTGTGTTAAGTTTCGTGAAAATCGGTTCAGATTTAGATATAGCTACCATATATAGTTTCGTCCGATTTTATGTAAATGGTGTACCAAAGTCCCTATATATCTTTCGATTTGCACGAAATTCGGTATGGCGTTATTAATTAGTTCTAGAATGATGTGTGTTATGTTTCGTGAAAATCGGTTCAGATTTAGATATAGCTCCCATATATATTTTCGTCCGATTTAATGTATATGGTGTACCAAAGTCCCTAGATATCTTTCGATTTGCAAGAAATATGGCATGGCGTAATTAATTAGTTCTAGAATGATGTGTGTTAAATTTCCTGAAAATCGGTCCAGATTTTGATATAGCTCCCATATATATTTTCGTCCGATTTTATGTAAATGGTGTTCCAAAGTCCCTATATATACCTTTCGATTTGCACGAAATTTGGCTCAGCGTACTAAAGTATGTCTAGAATGATGTGTGTTAAGTTTCGTGAAAATCGGTTCAGATTTAGATATAGCTCCCATATATATTTTCGTCCGATTTAATGTATATGGTGTACCAAAGTCCCTATATATCTTTCGATTTGCACGAAATTTGGCTTAGCGTAATGAATTAGCTCTAGAATGATGTGTGTTAAGTTTTCTGAAAATCGGTCCAGATTTAGATATAGCGCCCATATATATATTCGTCTGATATAATGTAAATGGTGTCCGATTTTACACAAAATTGACTCAAACTTTTCACAACGTACTGGAGTTAGAATAACCTAGAAGTTGGTTTTAAATGCTTTACCATGGTGGGTCTAATCGGCACAACATTTTGCTCTACGTACTGAAGTTATTGTGACGTGTGGCAAGTTTAATTCAAATCGGATTAGATTTTGACATAGCTTATGATTTTCATAATTTTGTCCCTGGTCCTTTAAAAATTCGACGTCTTTTAGGTTTCATCTTTTGGATATAGAGTAACTTCTGGTAATGTGGACCATGCGTCAAATGTGGACCACCCCCCATGCCGCCGCCTTGATAAATGTTTTCCTAATTAGTGAAAACAAACATCAAACTTGGTTTTTAATAAATAATTGCAATGTTGAAAATTTAGTAGGTGAAAATGTAGCTCTGATTGTAAAAGTGTGATTTGAAAATTTTTTAGCACAATAGTCGAACGATTTTGTAAAATAGTCGAACATTTTGTTTTTCTCGAATATAAAGAGGTACTGTGGTTTTCTTGTTTTCTCTAACAAAAAGACACGTTTATCTGTAATTACTTTCGGTTATTTTTAAATTTTTATTCATTTTTGAAGCCGATAATTATTTTTAAATAAAAATATTCAACGTAGGGTAATGTGGACCACTATAAAAAAGTGGGACATTTTCATGAGGACGAGTTCGAAACAAGGGCGCTTTTAATATGCGAGGAGGTATTCTATCCTCTGAAAACTCGATATCCGAAATTATAGGTTCCTCGGTTGGATAATGAAGCAAGGACCTTCAAAATACCGCAAATGGGGAGGTACCCTTAAATGGGGGCAATTCCAAAACATGGACCCATATATTTTTGCATTCATTGTTACCCAAGAGTGCAATAAATTGAAATTTATCACAATTAATCCACAACCTACCTTTAACTTACTGATCCTCATTACCCACACATACTGGTCCACATTACCCGCCAAGTTATTTTTTTTGCAGTTTAGAGTTTTTTGAAATATAATGCAATAACATTTTTATGGACAAATATATATAATTTTTGACCTGGAATATAATTAGCCAACAAATCTACCATGCTGTGAAAACAATTCGTTTTTATTTTTTACCGTTGTTACGCCCACAATATCAAAAAAAGAAAATGGTGGTCCACATTACCCGAAGTTACTCTATCGAAAGTGGTGAAGGGTATCATATAGTCGGCCCCGTCCGACTTTACTACTTTTCTTACTAGTTTTAAATCCATGTCTTATTGGCTACCTGAAAAAAAATATTTTTTTAAATCCATGTCTTATTGGCTATTTGACAATATATATATATATATATATTTTAATATCTACGCCTTGTTGGCTACTTGACAAAATATTTTTTTTAAATTCAAACCTTGACAAAATGTTTTTATTAATCCCCGCCTAATTGGTGACTTCATAAAATATTTTTTTAAAAAAAGCCAAGCCTTTTTTGCTATTTGAAAAAAAATCTATATGCAAAGTGAATCTTTTGAATTATCCCTTTTTTCAATTCAACATCAAATATTAATTGTTTTCTTTTTTCTCCTTCCCCCTTTCAGGTCTGTGCATTATCAAAGCGTAGCATGATATTACAACCGGATATACCACCCTATAATGAAATCGCAGCACCGCCCGGTGCACTCGGTGCTGCAGCTGCCCAAGCGTCATCAACCGGTGCCTTAATGGTTCATCAAACTTCAGCGTCGTCGTTCTCATCGTCAAAATATCAACAGCCACAGTCGCAACCACAAACCCAACAACAACAACAACATCTATCGGCATTGGCCTCAACGAAAAGCATTCAACAGAATAATATAATTATTGCCAATCCCGGTCTGAGTTACGATGATGTCCTCAATGAGGATTTTCAATTCGACATGGATGGCCATGATGTGATGGTATTTTTGCATATCCAGAAAACGGGTGGTACTTCATTTGGTCGTCATTTAGTACATGATTTGGATTTAAAGGTATGTATCCTATCGTATCGTTTCGAATGTTGATGATGACAAATTTGATTTGTATTTTTTTTTCTTTTTTGCTATTCCAAAATTTGCATATTTCATCTGTGATTTGTTGGGAATGATTAGCAAATGGAAGAATGTTTGGAGTTTGTATGTGTGTGTGTGTTCGTAGAAAAAAATATATTCAGGGTCAGCTTGACTTCCTTTCTTGAATAGTTATTCATGAATACAGGGAGCTGAGTAGAATTATTAATTTATTTGTTTTTGATTAATTTAGAAATTATCCTCGTTGTTCATTTGTGGGATTCTTTAGGATAGCTTGAGGATGTATTAGGGTGGCAACGTGTTTGTATTTTTTAAAAATATTTCATTTTAAAAATCAAAAATAATCCACGTCTTGCTGATAGCTTCAAAAAATATTTTTTTATAGCTTCAAAAATATTTTTTAAATAAGTGGAAAAGCGTTAAGTTCGGCCAGGCCGGATGTTGGATACCCTCCACCATAGATATAATGACAGGTACTTGAAATAAAAATATATGGAACATACCAAAAAGTGTACCTATACCGACATTTCCACAAACCGATTATGGTTCTAAATATTGGTCCTAGACCCCATGTTTCTTTGGACCAAATTTGTTTCAAAAAATTTTGATTTCATCCCACCTTATTATTTCTTCCAAAATTAGTTCGAACATGGGAAATATCGGTCCACTCCTTCTGGTACCTCCCACACAGGGGTTAGGACTAAATGCGGGTTACAGTTCATATATATGAATAAATATATAATGTTAATTATCGAACCTTATGTTCTAGTTTTTTTTTTCGTATCTTCCGCAGATGAAATGATTACAACAGAGTCTTAGAACCAAACCCAAACACGGAAAAAATCATATAACTATTTTAATATAAAAAATGGGATTATATGGGGACGACCCCAAAAAGGGGGTGAATATTAAAAATTTTTGGTAGGGAGATTTGTTACCATATACGATTACAAAATACCAAATTGCAGCGAATTCGGTTGAAAAACGCGCTCAAGAACCTCAAAATACCGAAAATTGGGGTTACCCTTATATGAGGGCTATCCGAAAAAATTGACCTATATTTATAATTTTTTTGTGCAGAGATTCGGTACCTATTAATAACTCAAAATACTAAATTACTGCCAGTTTGGTGGGAAAATACGATCAAAATCCTCAAAATACTGAAAATTAGGAGGTACTGGTATATGGGGGCTAGCAGGAAAAGTGGACCTATATTTATAATTTTTTGTGGAGACATTTTCTACCAAATAAGAACCTAATGGACCAAATTTCAGCGTATTCGGTTGAAAAACGAGCTCAAGAACCCCAAAATACGGAATTGGTATATGGGAGCTATGCCTAAACGTGGACCGATATATTCCATCTTCGAACTTGACCTGCCTGCAGACAAAAGACAAACCTGTGCAAAATGTCAGCACCCTATCTCAATTCCTTCAGAAGATAGCGTAATTACAAGAGACGGACGGACATGGCTAGATCGTCTTAGAATTTTACCCTGATCAAGATTATATATACTTTATGGCGTCGGAAATGAATGTTTCGATGAGTTACAAACGGAATGACAAAATTAATATACTTTCCATACTATTAAAAGTTTTTTTCTGCATTTTTTGTTTATCCTCCCACGAAGTTCTTCTGCATTTATTAGCAATCCTCCTCCTTATCTATCCATTTATTCCATATTTTTTTTGTTTTTATATTCTGCAACCATTTCATTAGACCATAACCGACCGTCAATAATATCACGGACAGACAGCTCATAACCTGTCATCATGGTGTGGCATATTAATAAGCCAGTCAGCCTGCCATCCAGCCAGCCAGCCACCCGGCCAGACAAATTCAAATTGTAGAACAAAACATGTTGTATACATGGTCAGAAAAATGTAAAATCTGAGCCATATAATCATCCGCTCTGTTATGTGAGAGAAATAAATTATCCCGCATAACTTTTTTTATTCGTTTATAATTAAATAAAAAATATTCAAAATTGTTTAAGTATTTTTTAAACTGGCAATTTTAAAGGATAATTGAAAATCGGGGACGATGGATGAATATTGATTAAAATTGAAAGGAGAACAAACAAAAAATAAAGCGTATTAAAAATCGTGGAAGAAATCAGAACTTTCAGCCAATAGATAGCACACCTTATATACAGATTTTTTTTGGAAGAGCAGGAAATATTAAATTCGATTTTAAGGTTAAAGCAATAAATTACATTTTTTATCGAATTAATTCCAATTTTTTTTTCTTTTTCATACCCTTTACAGCGTCCCTGCGAATGTCAACGTCAGCGCAAACGTTGCTACTGTTTCCGTCCACATCGCAATGAGAATTGGCTTTTCTCCCGCTATTCAACCGGTTGGAGATGTGGCCTACATGCCGATTGGACCGAGCTGACAAGTTGTGTCGATCAGGTCTTGGATAAAAACGAGGGAGAATCGGCGAAAAGAAGATATTTCTATATATCACTAATACGAGAACCTCTCGCCCGTTATATGTCCGAATATCGTCACGTAAAGCGTGGTGCAACATGGAAAAATTCCCGCCATTGGTGTTTGGGTAGACAAGCTACACAGAAAGAATTACCACCCTGTTATAAGGGTGATGATTGGTTGGATGTAACCATTGATGAATTTGCCGGATGCGAATCGAATTTGGCAACAAATCGTCAAACACGAATGTTGGCCGATTTGGCCTTAGTTGGATGTTATAATAAATCTGCCATGCCAGCTCACGAACGGGATCGTGTAATGTTGGCCAGTGCCAAGCGAAATTTGGCCTCAATGGCCTATTTTGGTTTGACAGAGTATCAGAAGGTAGGTGGAAGATTTTGAAATTTGGAAAAATTCATTTTTAATATTGTTGTTTTTCTTTTTTATTTTTTCAGATCTCTCAGTATATCTTCGAGGAGACATTCAATTTACGCTTTGCCATTCCATTTGAGCAGCACAATAACACCTTATCCGTTTCGGCCATACACAATCTGAGACCGGATCAAAGGCGAAAAATAGAAGAATTAAATAATTTAGATATAGAGCTATATGCGTTTGCCAAAAATTTATTATTCGAAAGGTAAAAACAAATGGAAAACCAAGGAATTTAATTAGAAGACCTCTAAATGGTCTCTCATAGTCTTTATATTGACCAAAAGGTGTCTATACAGGCCAATTGATCTATATAAAAACCTAAGGACTCTGTACAGCCCAATTGGTCTATATAAAGACCTGTGGTCTCTATACAGCCCAATTGGTCTTTATAAAGACCTGTGGTCACTATACAACCCAATTGGTTTTTATAAAGACCTATGGTCTCAATACAGACCAATTGGTATTTATAAAGACCTGTGCTCTCTATACAGACCAATTGGTTTTTATAAAGACCTATGGTCTCTATACAGACCACGTGGTCTTTATAAACCCCAGTGGACTCTATACCGACCATTTGGTCTTTATAAAGACCTGTGGTCTCTATACCGACCAGTGGTCTCTATACAGACCAATTGGTCTTTATAAAGACCTGTGGTGTCAATACAGCCCAATTGGTCTTTATAAAGACCAGTGGTCTCTATACAGCCCAATTGGTCTTTATAAAGACCAGTGGTCTCTATACAGCCCAATTGGTCTTTATAAAGACCGCTGGTCACTATACAGCCCAATTGGTCTTTATAAAGACCCATGGTCTCTATACAGCCAAATTGGTCTTTATAAAGACCTATGGTCTCTATACAGCCCAATTGGTCTTTATAAAGACCTATGGTCTCTATACAGCCCAATTGGTCTTTATAAAGACCTATGGTCTCTATACAGCCCAATTGGTCTTTATAAAGACCTATGGTCTCTATACAGCCCAATTGGTCTTTATAAAGACCTGAGGTCTCTATACAGCCCAATTGGTCTTTATAAAGACCTATGGTCTCTATACAGCCCAATTGGTCTTTATAAAGACCTGTGGTCTCTATACAGCCCAATTGGTATTTATAAAGACCTGTGGTCTCTATACAGCCCAATTGGTATTTATAAAGACCTGTGGTCTCTATACAGCCCAATTGGTATTTATAAAGACCTGTGGTCTCTATACAGCCCAATTGGTCTTTATAAAGACCTGTGGTCTCTATACAGCCCGATTGGTCTTTATAAAGACCTGTGGTCTCTATACAGCCCAATTGGGCTTTATAAAGACCTGTGGTCACTATACAGCCCAATTGGTCTTTATAAAGACCTATGGTCTCTATACAGCCCAATTGGGCATTTTAAAGACCTGTGGTCTCTACACAGCCCAATTGGTCTTTATAAAACCCGGTGGTCTCTATTAATTCTGATTGGTCTTTATAAACCCCTATATGAAAATCATTTATATCTGTAAGTTCTTCTATTTGTGGAATATCTTTTGGAAGACTTCCACTAATCGAACTCCTTTTTTCCTCTACTTTTTTTAATAATTCCTTATATTAAAATTCTTTCCCCTACTTCTTTGTTTTCAGATTCGAACATTTAAAAGCACGAGACAACGATTTTGAAAAACGATTTGCAAATCTGGGTAATATCTACTATAAGCAGGGTGTTACCGAATTCAATTGGGATAGTAATATCGATGAGACCGTAAGTACAGAGCACTGAAGGTGATTTGATAGTCATTAAGGATCAACAGTAGTCCTCGCTGAATCCACTCCAAAAATAAGAAAAAACACTACTACACTCTAAGGATTTCGTTATCAACGTATCAGCATTATGCTATTCCCTCCCTCACTTCCTCATCATCCATGGTAACCAGAGAACTACATTAGCTGACTAAAAAACAAAATTTTAAGCATTAACAAATCACGTTTGTTACAAAACCAAAAATTATTATAAATAATTATAAAACAAAGAAGAAGAAAAACGGAATTATATTCTAGAATTAAGTAGTATTCCAATATACATATACACAGCGATTTTTCTTAGACACACACACACACAAACGAAATAACTCATTGACATTAAAATAGTAAAGCATTTATAAGTTATATAGTTTTATTATCCACAACACAGAATCTGACCTTATGGAACAGGAAATATATTTGGTTTTTTATTAAAAAAAGGCCATCCCAAGAAATGTACATTTGAAAATTACTCACACACACACATACACAATGAAAATGTAATTAATGGGAACATTTCTATAAAAATATATAAAAAAATGGTATTAAGACCAGTCTCTATGCCGACCATCCAATTGGTCTTTATAAGGAACGTTGGTCTCTACATAGACTAATTTATCTTGATATAAACCAGTGGTCTCTATGATGTTCAATTGGGGTTTCTATAGACCAGGGGTCACTATATTGACCAATTGTTCTTTATATATAATAGTGGTGTCCATACCGACCAATTTGTCTTTATATAGGCCAGTGGTCTCTATTTTACCAATTGGTTTTTATAAAGACTTATGGTCTCAATACAGACCAATTAGTCTTTATAAAGAACTGTGGTCTCTATACAGACCAACTGGTTTTTATAAATACCTTTGACCTCTGTATAGACAAATTGGTCTTTATAAGTACCTATGTCCTCTATGTAGACCAATGTGTCTTTATAAATACCTGTGGTCTGTACATCCAAATTTGCCTTTATAAAACTTTGTGGTCTATGTAAAGCCCATTTCTTCATCTTGGTCTCTATACAGACCAATTGGCCTTTATAAAGACCTGTGGTCTCTATACCGGCCAATTGCCCTTTATAAAGACCTATGGTCTCTAGACAGCCCAATTGGCCTTTATAAAGACCTGTGGTCTCTCTATACAGCCCAATTGGCCTTTATAAAGACCTATGGTCTCTATACAGACCAATTGGCCTTTATAAAGACCTATGGTCTCTATGCAGCCCAATTGACCTTTATAAAGACCAATGGTCTCTATGCAGCCCAATTGGCCTTTATAAAGACCTGTGGTCTCTATGCAGCCCAATTGATCTTTATAAAGGCCTATGGTCTCTATACAGACCAAATGGACTCTATAAAGGCCTGTGGTCCCTTTTTTATTCTCATTTTCCCTTTTATTAGTCTTACACACACTAATTCTTTCTTGACACCATAAGGAATTTTGGATTTTACAACAATACCACTTGACAAGTATGACGACAATGACGAGTATATACAATATATTTATATATAAATATTAACGTATATATAACGAAATATAGCTTTTAAGCTTTAGCTTATAGAAAACTTTTTTTTTATCAATTAATATTGTATAAGTGATTTGTTTTAATTTGTTTATATTAAGTAAAACAAATTGTACATATAGTCATATTATTATGTATAACATTAATTGTTTTAAGTAATTAGTTTGAATTCCATTAAAGTATTTTAATATATATTTTCTTGTAAAGCGGATCAAGGTTTATGGAAAACTAAATTCTTATAATATTTAGACAAAAATATTTTCTCTGTATAAAATCGTAATTGGGTAAACAAATTCTTTTTAATTGTAGATCATCAAAATTCCGTCGTTATTCCATATTGGCGGATTTTTCTTGAAGACAGTTGCATTCTTATAAAATGTTGTGTTATCAAAAATTATTTTCCTTTATCATTTGCTACAATTATCATATTCATACCTAGACAAAACAGACCAAAAATGCTTTCGAATATAAATTTGATTCCCCAAATAGGTTAAAATTATGTTCTGAGTCGTTTATGTAGATTCTGAAATTTACATCCATTTTTTGTAATATTGGAATAAAAATAGACTGTGTGTCTTTAGGGCCGATCTGATAGGCCTAGCTCGAACTCCTCGAACACAGTTGAGCTTAATAAAGAGGTATTTTGAAAGTATTTAGAAGGCAGTCTAATTGAGTCTAATGCAGACAGCTTTTCAGCTTATTGGCAACAGCTGAGGAGGTCTTTTGAATATATCATTTCTTGAGATTGTTAATCACAGAGGGATGATTTGAAGATATTCTCTACAAGTAGAAATTAAAGGAAATAAAACCGAATATTAAAAATGGAATTCTATTTTAAATTTAATTTATTTTAGTATACCAGAATCTAACTTAAAGAGGCCAATAGAGATTCAAAAAAAGACTAAATAAAGGGTCAAGTAGAGAAGTATTTAGGTAAAACCCTAATTGAGGTTTTGAAAGTAGAATTTTCTAACCTGTCCGTAACCGTAGAGGTATTTTCAATTTATCTCTTCTTGATGATGACAGAGTGATTGTTTGAAAAAAACAGTTTTGAAAGTTTAAATTTGAAGAAAAAGAGTCCTGAGTCACTATGACCGTTTAATAATTGGCAAAATGGTAGATTTGGGCTGAAAAAAGTTTCCTCTAAACACATCCGCAAATTGAGTGAATTGCCGCTCATTTACCTCAACGAAAACTAGAAGAACTCAGCAGAGCTTTATAAAGAGGGATGCTGCCTATTGGAGATTTGTTACTTTACAAATTCTTGCAACGGTTGAAGTTACTTGAAAAAAATCTCTGAAAATAGAAATTTGAAAAAAATATGGTCCTGCTGGGTTGGTTTGGATTAAATTGCCGGCAAATTTATCAGAATGATGTGTTGCCGCTCATATATCTCAACAGAATCTGAATGGACCTTTCGATTGTGCCAATAAAATGAAGAGAACCTAAAGTGTCTTAGGAAACACCCCTCCAAATAATCGAAAAGTTGATTGGCCGCTGATCTACCCCAAACGAAAACTTAGCTGAGGTCCTAATCGAGGATGATTTTGAAAGTATTTAGAAGACAAACTAATTTTGATTTTTAATGTGGAATTTTCATGATTTTTGTCTACGGTTAAGCCATTTTCAGAATAGATCACTTCGTGAGCTTGTCAATGACAGAATGGCGGCTTGAAAAATCACAGAAAATAGAAAATTGAAAGTTTTGTATTCCCAATATGTTGGCATCCTATATTGAAGAACAATAGAACTGACCTATATTAAGAACCGCATTTTTATACCCTTAGCCTTATGGCGGTAATATAGCACTTTAGCTTGTCAAATGATAATTTCCATACAGGAGTATTTCCAAGTATGTGTCAGAGTATTATAGCTTTGTGCAGCCTCAAGAGTTTGTAAACGCCGCGATCGTCATATATTGACTAGCTGAGTCGATCTAGACATGTGCGTCTGTCTATTATAATTTGTAAACACGATACAGGCAACAGTTATGGACCAATTCACGCAATTTTGCATGTAGGATGGGTTCTGGCCAATGAAAACCCCTATTGTGTTTGGTAATGATCCTTTTTATATTTAGGGGATGAAATGGACCAAAAACTTTATTTTTGTCTGATTTTCTGGTCGCTCCAGAGCCCGAATTTATGGTCCAAACATCGCGAATTTTTACACGGAGAAGGGTATCTGGTCAAAGAATAAACATAACTGTTTTCATAAAGATCGGCCAATATTTAGTGGTTTAAATGGGCCCTGACTTTTGTGGGAAAAATTACAAATTTTGTATTCTATGGCGAATATATTTACTCCTGAAGGACATAGACCCGAGAAGTTGATAGTACATCAAAGAGGCGTGGTTGACCTTTAAATTGATACCAATTATATGCTTGGATGAACGGGGATGTGGGAACCATACGTAAATATTTAAAAGTGTCTATGTCTACTTGTTTAGAGGCGGAAATGTCGCGCTGATCGCTTGAAATTTTACATAAAGTTCCGGTTGTGGACAATGGCGATGCCTATAATTTTCGGTGTTGTTGAGATGGTGCTTAGACTGCAATAAACCGAAATCTTTATTTTTGTCAGATTTTCTAGTTGCTCTAGAGGCCATTATTATATGCAGAACATCACATATTTTACACGTTGAAGGGGATCAGAACAATTACTTAGAACGGTGTTTAGATGATGATCGGTCAATATTCCGAGGTTATATATTCACCACAGGAAAACAAGATTTGGAAAATATGCCAGTGTTAGAATGAGGAGCTGTTGATTTAAAATCGGTCAAAAGAGTACAAATATCTCGAAATTTTGCCCAGGCTCAGAGAAACCGCAGAAATTATAGTTTGGTGGAAGTTGTGTAGGGTTTCATATGGTCGGCCTTGTCCGACTATACTGCTCCGCTCACTGGTTTTGTTTCTACTTTCTGAAAAAAATATTTAATTTTTTTATATTTTTTAATATTATAAGACTATTATAACTTGATCCACCAGGAAAATATGTATTTAGTATTTAATTAATTTATTTTTTTATTTTGTATTGTTTTTTGTTTTTAATTTAACGACTGATTTTAGTTTTAAAATTTTTTTTTTTTTTTTTAATTAAAATCGACAAATAAGTTTACAATAAAGTTTTTGTATATTGTAAATATATAGCTGCAGAATAATAAATAATAATAATTATAATATTAGTTGTAATACACACAGACACACAAACTAACAATTACAATCCAAGGAAAATACAATCGATAAAATTTATAACAGTCCAAATGGCCCGAAATTGAAGTTCGAATGTTTTTTTTTTACTATCGCTTACAACAACTCTCTCTTATAGCGATCAAATTTCGCTGGGGTCCCTTAAACTGTCGTTGTAAAGGATTTCGATTGTATTCCTTTAACAAAAACTTTCAGATTTTTTTCCGTAAACAGTCCATTGTTTTTGATTTATGGTTATAGTTTTTTAATGATTTGATTTGAATTTTTGACAAAGAAACTGGCATGACATTTTTTTTCAAATTAAAAAAAAAAAATATGTTTTATTTTAAATTTACAAAATTTAAGTATTCAAAAGTTATTTTTGTTAAACAAAAAATAAATAAAGCCACACTATTTAATAATAATTTTAAGGACAATAAAACAAATCCAAAACTCGAAATAAAAAATCAATTGAAAAAAAGACAAACGATTTGAAACTCACACTTTTATACACAACAGACACACAACCAACAGTCTTGTAGTAAAAACCTAAACTTTAAGCCTTGGCTAAATAAAATGCTTTAGACAAAATAATAAAAAAAATTAACTCACTGACAAACACACACACAATTAGTTATAAGTTAACACCAATATGAAATGCATTTCAAAAAAATAATTAAATAAAATAATATATAATAATAAAAAATAAACTACAAACATTGTTTATATACAAAAGTATTGTAAAAAAATAATAATTTTTTGATACTACAGAAAGAAACCAATAAAAATTAAATTAAAAAAAACAACAAAATCTGTATTGAAAAAATTAATCTCAGAAAAAATATTAATTTAAAATTAAAATAGTTTATATTTTTTTAAAAATAAAAAAGTAATCTTTTTTGAATTTTTAGGTTAGCTTGGGTTTTAACCTAACATAACCTTAAAAAACAACAACAACAGCTCATGTGCCATTTTTTTGTACATTCTATTCATAAACATAATCTACTACTGATGATAATGTCTTGTTAAATCATAAATTTAATAAACTAAGGACTATATTCATAATTAATTAAGTCAATTTTTATTTTAATTTTTTTACTAAATTACCAAAAATTGTGCAATTTTGTTTTTATTTTTTAAAAATATTTTTTAACAAAAACAAAAATCATTTATGTTAACAAAATAACGTTTTAAACAAGAAATGTATGAAATAAATAATAAAACACAAAACAAATCAACAACAACAACTTATTGATATTAATATATGAAATAATAATAACAACAAAAATTACAACAATAAAAACAAAATAAAAAAAAAATATTTAAAAAATAATATGTTTTATTTCAAGTGGGATTTTTAAGGACCCTCATAAGGCGTGGATTTTTTTAAGAATCATTTTTATGTACTCTCGTAAGGCGTGGATTTTTTAAAGAATATTTTTGCAAGGACTCCCAATGGCGTGGATTTTTTAAAGAATATTTTTTTAAGGACTCCCAAAAGATTTTATAAAGAATTTTTTTTAACGACTCCCAACAGATTTTTTAAAGAATATGTTTAAGGACTCCCAACCACTCCCAAAAGGCGTGGATTTTTTAAAGAATATTTTGTTAAGGACTCCCAAAAGATTTTATAAAGAATATTTTTTTAAGGACTCCCAACAGATTTTTTAAAGCATATGTTTAAGGAATCCCAACCACTCCCAAAAGGCGTGGATTTTTCAAAGAATATTTTTTAAGGACTCCCAACCACTCCCAAAGGGCGTGGATTTTTCAAAGAATATTTTTTAAGGACTCCCAACCACTCCCAAAGGGCGTGGATTTTTCAAAGAATATTTTTTAAGGACTCCCAACCTCTCCCAAAGGGCGTGGATTTTTCAAAGAATATTTTTTAAGGACTCCCAACCACTCCCAAAGGGCGTGGATTTTTCAAAGAATATTTTTTAAGGACTCCCAACCTCTCCCAAAGGGCGTGGATTTTTCAAAGAATATTTTTTAAGGACTCCCAACCTCTCCCAAAGGGCGTGGATTTTTCAAAGAATATTTTTAAGGACTCCCAACCACTCCCAAAGGACGTGGATGTTTATAACGTACACAACTATGTTGGCAGGGTATTATAGCTTTGTACTGCCCCAAAAGTTTGTAACGCCGCGAAATATTGGTCCTAGTTTAAAATATTTTTAAGGACCCCATATTTTTATACCCTTCACAACTATGTTGTCAGGGTATTATAGCTTTGTGCAGCCCCAAAAGTTTGTATCGTCGTGAAATATTGGTCCTAGATCCACCTTTAAGTATACCGATCGTCATATCTCAACTGGCTGAGTCTATCTACACATGCGTGTCTGTCTGTCCGTCTGTCCATTATAGTTTGTAAACACGATACAGGCCACAGTTATGGACCAATCTTCACGAAATTTTGCATGTAGGATGGGTTCTGGCCAATGAAGATCCCTATTGTCTTTGGTAAAGATCGGTTAATATTTAGGGGATGAAATGCACCAAATACTAAATGTTTGTCGGCTTTTCTGGTGCTCCAGAGGCCGCAATTACATCGCGAACATCGGGAAATTTTACATGGAGAAGGCGATCGGGCCAGAGAATAAGCATGCCTGTTTTGATAAGGATCGGTTAATATTTAGCGGGTCAAATGGACCCTGCCTATATATTTGCCCCTGAAGGACATAGACCCGAGAATTTGATTGTATATCCAAGAGGAGTGGTTGATGTGGGAGTTACACTTAAATATTTACAGGTGCTTACGTATTCATATATTATTTATTAACCAATTACCACACTAGAGGGCGGATGATCCAGGTATGCTCAAGGACAACGCCTATAATTTCCGGTGATGATCAAGTTGTGGAAATTGTGTAGGGTATCATATGGTCGGCCCCGTCCGACTATACTGCTCCCCTCACTGGTTTAAGCTACCATTCAAGGACTTACTTATTCATATTCCTGTTTTATGACACGAGAAAAAACATTTATTTTAATAATATTTATGTTTTATTAATTGAATATTTCTTAAAATTCTAACAGCTACTCTAAGGGCTTGAACTTCTTGAACACATTTTCATCCTCCAAGTTCTCCTTATTTCTAATAATTTGGTCCTTTGTTGTAATAATTTTGTGGCCCCTTATTATTTTGCGGGCCTTTATTGCTCCATTGCTGTTGAGCCAATTGCAGAGGATAAGTATAGGCAGCCATGTAGGAACTACAATCGGGACAGCTGCCAGGTTGTCCCGGCGGTCCACGTACACCAGGTTCACCTGGTTTACCGGTGTCACCACGTTCACCAGGCCTGCCGGGGGCACCATCCATGCCCACACCTGCAGGACCCGGAGGTCCAGGTGGTCCCATGGGACCTTCATGACTTTCTCCGGGATAACCACGATCACCTTTTTCGCCATCTCGTCCAGGGGGACCCATTTCACCGGGGGTGCCAGGGTGGCCATTTATACCCGGGTAGCCACGTTCTCCCTGCGGACCTCGGGGACCAGGTTCACCTGAAGAAAAGGAAAATATACTTTTAATATTAATTAAAATTGTTTGTTTTTTATGTCTCACCTTGAATACCCTGAGGTCCAGGTGGCCCTGGACGACTGATACCCCTGCGTCCAGGTGGACCTGGTGGTCCCATTAGCGTATGCGATATTTCACTGATATAATCACGTACCACCGCCATACATATGTCACGTATGCGACCTTCATCAAAATTATAATTGCCGCTTTCGGCGGCTATTCCAGGAAGACCAGGGGCGCCTGGCAAGCCTGGGGGACCTGGTTGACCCGGTTGTCCGGGATTGCCAGGCATACCTGGCGGTCCCATAATACCGGGAGGACCGATTTTTGTTTCCCAATTGGCTTCGGTGTGTATTGCTGCTGGTCCTGGAGGTCCAGGTGGACCTGGTGGTCCTGGACGGCCATCGGCACCATCTAAGCCGGGTAAACCACGGTCACCTTTTTCGCCTGGGGTGCCAGGTTCGCCAGGGGGACCTGTAAATTTGGATTAATTAGCTTTTGTTGTTATTTAAAAATTGTCTGGATCTACCTTGAACTCCCAAACCAAACTGGCCATTGGGAGGAAGTGCCACTCCTGGTGGCCCTGGGGGTCCGGGTAGACCAACGAGGCCAGGAAAACCTCTTTCTCCCTTATCGCCTTTTTCTCCAACTTCACCGGGAGGTCCTATGGAATATGAAACATTATTTTTGGCGATAAGTGGACAAGGGTCACTGCAGATTCATTATGGGAAAATATTCTCCCCTCTTCTAAATTGGATTTTTTAAACATAAAACTTTTTTTCTTACCTTGTATACCAAATCCTGGTGGTCCCTGAGGTCCGGGCAGACCTGCAATACCCTTCATACCTGGTAGACCGGGTGCACCATTTCTGCCATCCTTACCCGGCAATCCTGGCAAGCCATTTAAGCCCGCTTCACCCTTTTCACCCTTGGCACTACCCAATTGACCATAATTACCAATTGAAGGGGCAGGATTTCCGGGTATACCTGCTGGACCCTATGGAGAATTTACGAATTTGTTTAATTTTATAATCGAAAAGGAAAGAAAATCCTTCTAGCTTACCGGAGCACCTGGTAAACCCCTTAGACCAGGTGGTCCCGGCAGACCCGGTGGTCCCCGTGGACACTGTTCGGGACATGTCAAAGCCTCCTTGCCACTAAATGGATATGTTGGAGTACTACCAATATGCCAAGTTTTTTCTGTGGTCGTATCCAAAAATTTGAAATTAAATGGTTCGGGAGTACTTGAGCTTTCATAATTATCCGGTCGATAATGTGTGGTTGTTGTTGTGGTAGTCCTGGCCGTGGTTGGCCATTCAAATTGGGGCCGAGTTCTGTTCGTTTGAATGTACTGAGGCAAATCGTCACAGCTGGTTGTGGCCGGTTTGTCTTTGTCACAGCTGAATATCATCCATTGTAAATCGATCTGTATTGAGAGAGAGTGGATAATAAAATGAAAATTTCCGCAATCGTATATTTTCTTTTATATTTTCCACTTACCGGCACCGTTTCCCGACTGGCACATGTTCGGGCCACCGTAAATACCCCATCTGTGGCATCAATGGGACCACGAACATCCAAGGGGGCCTTGAAGCTGCCACGATTATCCGGCACGGGTTTACAATCCACCCACAAACGTACACCATCCTGGCTGACACCCAACATCACCTTGTGCCATGAACGATCAAAGATCTGAAGAGAAAATCATTTTTTTTTTAATTTCTAAATATTTTTTTCCTAATCTCTCTGCTTTCTAACCTCAATTTCCTCAAATGTCACCGTCTGCAGGGTGCCATCAAATTTCGGCAATGCAAATTCAATGGCATTATTGACCGGATTTATTGTCACACTCATCTGCGATTCGTACTCATAGTCGCTCAACTCGAACAGATACCATTCGTAGCGCGGCTGTTGCTGGGGCACACGGAACGTACACTCAAATGAAAATTCATTGGGTATACCCTTGGGAAAAGCACGCGATGATTCAATTGTCATATTCGAATATTCACTGATATGATAGGCCTGCTGATAACCTGTCGAACCGCCGATTTGTGTGACGCCCTGCGCCTCATACTGGTACTCATCGAAACGATACGAATGTAAGATGTCATATGTGGTCAGATCGGGATCACCGGGTCGCACAACATTACACGGTTCAACGGGTACAAAGTCGGCGTCGTCATCTTCGTCGTAATAATCTTGGGGATTGGGAACTGGAGGAAGTGAAAAAATATTTTAATTTTATTATGGAATAAAATAAGTGGAATTATAAAAATGTCTGTAGCCCAGAAGGCGTGGATTTTTTAATGGATATTTTTTTGAGTAGCCCAGAAGGCGTGGAATTTTAAATGGATATTTTTTCAAGTAGCACAGAGGGCGTGGATTTTTTAATGGATATTTTTTCAAGTAGCTCAGAAGGCGTGGATTTTTTAATGGATATTTTTTCAAGTAGCTCAGAAGGCGTGGATTTTTTAATGGATATTTTTTCAAGTAGCCCAGAAGGCGTGGATTTTTTAATGGATATTTTTTCAAGTAGCCCAGAAGGCGTGGATTTTTTAATGGATATTTTTTCAAGTAGCCCAGAAGGCGTGGATTTTTTAATGGATATTTTTTCAAGTAGCCCAGAAGGCGTGGATTTTTTAATGGATATTTTTTCAAGTAGCCCAGAAGGCGTGGATTTAAAAAAAAATTAAAGAATTTTTTTGAAGTAGCCCAGAAGGCATGGATTTAAAAAAATATAAAGAATTTTTTTTCAATTAGCCCAGAAGGCGTGGATTTAAAAAAAAAATTAAAGAATTTTTTTTTCAAGTAGCTCAGAAAACGTGGATTCTCATAAGGCATGGATTTTTTAAATTGCATTTTAAGGACTTTCATACGGAGTAGATTTTTATACCTTTCACCACACATTGGTGCAGGGTATTATGTCTTTGTGCATATGTTTGTAACAGGCAAAAAAAAAAAAAAAAAAACGAGATATACTCATGGTTCCTTTTGAGAATATGCTTAGAATCACTTTCTGAGTCGACATATGCATGTCCGTCCGTCTGTCTGTCCATGTTGAATTGTAAACAAAGTACACTTAGCATTTATGATCCGAATTGGATGAAATTTGGCACAGCTTATTGATTTGGCCCAAGGACGAACCCTATTGAAATTGGGAAAAATCGGTTCAGATTTAGATATGGCTCCCATATATATTTTAGTCCGATTTAATGAAAATGGTGTACCAAAGTCCCTATATATCTTTTGATTTACACGAAATTTGACACAGCGTAATGAATAAGGTCTAGAATGATGTGTGCAAAGTTTCGTGATAATCAGTTCAGATTTAGATATAGCTCCCATTTAAATTTTTATCCGATTTAAGGTAATTGGTGCACAAAAGTCTCATAAAATCATTCGATTTGCACGAAATTTGGCACATCGTACTAAACTACGTCTATAATAATGTGTGCTAAGTTTCATGAAAATCGGTTCAGATTTAGATATAGCTCCCATATATATTTTCATCCGATTTAAGGTAAATGGTGTACCAAAGTCCCTAAATATCTTTAGATTTGCACGAAATTTGACACAGCGTAATGAATAAGGTCTAGAATGATGTGTGCAAAGTTTCGTGATAATCGGTTCAAATTTAGATATAGCTCTCATATATAGCTTCGCCCGATTTTAGGTAAATTGTGTACCAAAGTCCCTATATATCTTTCGATTTGCACGAAATTTGACATAGCGTACTGAATTAAGTCTAGAATGATGTGTGCAAAGTTTCGTGAATATCGGTTCAGATTTAGATATAGCTCACATATATAGCTTCTCCCGATTTTAGATAAATTGTGTACCAAAGTCCCTATATATCTTTCGAGTTGCACGAAATTTGACATAGCGTACTGAATTAAGTCTAGAATGATGTGTGCAAAGTTTCGTGAAAATCGGTTCAAATTTAGATATAGCTCCCATATATAGCTTCGCCCGATTTTAGGTAAATTGTGTACCAAAGTCCCTATATATCTTTCGATTTGCACGAAATTTGACATAGCGTACTGAATTAAGTCTAGAATGATGTGTGCAAATTTTCGTGACAATCGGTTCAAATTTAGATATAGCTCCCATATATAGCTTCGCCCGATTTTAGATAAATAGTGTACCAAAGTCCCTATATATCTTTCGATTTGCACGAAATTTGACATAGCGTACTGAATTAAGTCTAGAATGATGTGTGCAAAGTTTCGTGACAATCGGTTCAAATTTAGATATAGCTCCCGTATATAGTTTCGTCCGATTTAAGGTAAAAGGAGCACCAAAGTCCCTATATATCTTTCGATTTGCACGAAATTTGACACAGCGTAATGAATAAGGTCTAGAATGATGTGTGCAAAGTTTCGTGAAAATCGGTTCAAATTTAGATATAGCTCCCGTATATAGTTTCGTCCGATTTGAGGTAAAAAGAGGACCAAAGTCCCTATATATCTTTCGATTTGCACGAAATTTGGCATAGCGTACTGAATTAAGTCTAGAATGATGTGTGCAAAGTTTCGTGAAAATCGGTTCAGATTTAGATATAGCTCCCATATATATTTTCATCCGATTTTAGGTAATTGGTGCACCAAAGACCTTATATATCTTTCGATTTTCACGAATTTTTGAATTAAGTCTAGAATGATGTTGCTAAGCTTTGTGAAAAGACCCATGGCTAGGCCGATTGACACAACGTACTGAAGTAATATAAATTAGTCTCTGGCAAGTTTCCCTGAAATCGGTTCATATATAGATATATAACAAAAACGCGTCGTCTGTTAGCATACATATGTAGAATATACCCAAAGTGGTGAAGGGTATCATATAGTCGGCCCAGTACGACTTTACTACTTTCCTTACTGGTTTAAAGAATATTTTTTTCATGGACCCCAATAAGGCGTGGATTTTTTAAAGACTATTTTTTTCATGGACCCCAATAAGGCGTGGATTTTTTAAAGACTATTTTTTTCATGGACCCCAATAAGGCGTGGATTTTTTAAAGACTATTTTTTTCATGGACCCCAATAAGGCGTGGATTTTTTAAAGACTATTTTTTTCATGGACTCCAATAAGGCGTGGATTTTTTAAAGACTATTTTTTTCATGGACCCCAATAAGGCCCACAAGAATATTTTTACTAGTAGCCCAAAAGGCGTGGATTTTTTAAAGACTATTTTTTTCATGGACCCCAATAAGGCCCACAAGAATATTTTTACTAGTAGCCCAAAAGGCGTGGATTTTTTAAAGACTATTTTTTTCATGGACCCCAATAAGGCCCACAAGAATATTTTTACTAGTAGCCCAAAAGGCGTGGATTTTTTAAAGAATATTTTTTCTAGAAGCCCAAAAGAATATTTTTACTGGTAGCCCAGAAGGCGTGGATTTTTTACAGAATTTTTTTCATGGACCCCAATAATGCGTGTAGCCAAAGTAAATCAAAATATCCACTATAATTTAATTTTCTAGTTTTTTTATAATTTTGAACACTGAGCCATTGTGAGGTCAAAACTAAAATGTTTGTCTCTTTCAGAAGAGAATATTTATACGATTTTTTTAATATTTTCTTTCAAATTTTGATAACACAACTAATGTCCACATTTGGTGATAAAGAATGCATAGTAGAACACTCATTCCGTCTATATTTTTTTAAATAGACAAATATTTTCGAATATGCTCGTTGACCGGAAATAGTATGTTGTGAAATCAAGTGACACAAATGATGATCAATTTTATTTCGAAACATAGAATGAAATTATAAGACTTATTTTTTATTAATTTAAAATTATTAATTTTATTGAATAAATTATATTCATTTATATTTTTTATAACTAATAAACTGTTTTATGTATTATTTTTTATTTTTAGGTAGTCTAAATTACATTTTTTTATATTTTTATTTATTTTTTCCTTATATGTAGGTCATTTCATTAATTTCTTCTTTTATTAAAATTATCATTTCATTTTTGTTTTTTTAATATTCACTCCACTTAAAAAAAAAAACAATTTACAAATATTAATTTTAATTTTTAGTTTACACACCACTTTGCCCCACAGCCACAGCATTTTCCAATATTTGATATAGAAATAATAAAACCAATAACTTTTTTAATTGGCCTGCCATTTTAAGGAATTTTTTCTTTTTTTCAATTACTTCCTCTTCACTTATCGTTTTTTTTCTTAACACATTGTCTGTTCTATTTATTAAAATGTGATTCCCGCTTAGAAGAAAAATCCCAAGACAAGACGTTCCAATTCGTTTAGAGTTCAAATCACAACTGATACGAATCGAAACGATTCAATTGTGAAGAACAGTTTCTGTATCAAACGCATCGATGTCTGTGATTTCTCTTAAATTGAAATCGAATACCCCTGAGCGAGAGGAATAGTTTTCAAATTGTTGATGTTCGATATTGTTTATAGTGAAACTCAGCATTTTTTCAACAATGTATTTGGATGCGTATTAACCTGCGTGGAGACGTGGATTTTTAAAAGAATATTTTTTTTTGGAAGAGGCCACCAAGGTGAGTATTTTTTAATAAAGGCGAGGACCTTAGCCAGCCATCCAAGGCGTGGATTTTTAAAAGAAGATTTTTTTAAGTAGCCAGCCATCCAAGTCGTGGATTTTTTAAAGAATATTTTTTTAAGTAGCCAGCCATCCAAGGTGTGGATTTTTAAAAGAATATTATTTTAAGTAGCCAGCCATTCAAGGCGTCGATTTTTTAAAGAATATTTTTTCAAGTAGCCTGCCATTTAAGGCGTGGATTTTTAAAAGCCAGCCAACCAAGGCGTGGATTTTTAACAGCCAGCGTGGATTTTTAAAAGCCAGCCAACCAAGGCGTGGATTTTTAAAAGCCAGCCAACCAAGGCGTGGATTTTTAACAGCCAGCGTGGATTTTTAAAAGCCAGCCAACCAAGGCGTGGATTTTTAACAGCCAGCGTGGATTTTTAAAAGCCAGCCAACCAAGGCGTGGATTTTTAAAATAATATTTTTTTAAGTAGCCAGCCATCCAAGGCATGGATTTTTTAAAGAATATTTTTTTAAGTAGCCAGACATCCAAGGCGAGGATTTTTTAAAGAATATTTTTTTAAGTAGCCAAACATCCGAGGCGTGGATTTTTTAAAGAATATTTTTTTAAGTAGCCAGACATCCAAGGCGTGGATTTTTTAGGGATTTTTTTAAGTAGCCAGCCATCCAAGGC